TATAAGTAATTTCAAATTATATTTAATGTGTCTCCAATACTCTTAGCACATGGGAGTTCTTTCTAAGCTTTCTTTGATTTCTCATATTCTTCTATGTTTGCCATCGTTACCCATAATAATTACTGGGTAGCTATCACATTTATTACTTACATACTAGGTAATGGGGGAAAAAATCTTATTGTTTGGTTTAAAAAAAAGTCATTTTAAGAGACTGCCTCTACCTACATAAAACATGAAAATTAGGAGTCTTTATTTCCACTTGTCATAAATAAGTAATTTATTTCCATATTAACACATACATGTATGAGTTTGAATGTTGAATTCACAATTGTTTACCTTTACCTTCAAATTGCAGTATAGTCACCAATTACCTTTTGAATTTTGTTTTGTTTTTCAGTTTTGGCCTTGAATTTTGGGTCCTTTAGTATACTATAATTGCAAATTTTAAAAATAGACTACAAAGACTCTAATAATGTACATACATCTCTCTGCCTTGTTAAAGTTTAACTCGGAGAGCATTTGAATGCTTTGTGGGTGGTGGTGGGCGATTCCCCAGGATACATTTCCCACTATTCATGAAAATTCAGACGATCCTTTCTAAGTTTTTCATCACCAGACTTTTTTTCTCGTATATTGTTTAATATTTGAACCCTAATTTTGCTTTAATGCTTGAAATAGTGTACACATGAATATAATAGTAGGTGGTTATTACGAGGATACCTCAACGTATGCTCAAAGACAGTCAAACCCTGGTGGCAGCCATGTTGTTTTCATTATTAGAGAACGCTTACATGCCTAATCATTCCATATTTGGAATTTGCATTTCCTAATATGGTAGGATGGAAATATCCTGTAAAATACCGCAAAATTACAGCACACTGTAACTTACATGTTTTTGTATAACGTTACAGAGACAGATGTATAATAATAGTTATGATTCCTCAAAATCAGAACTTTTGCAAGTTGGACTTTGAAGTTCCATGTTGTAAAAGTCCATAATAACTACTCATGGACTAGTGAACATTTTTCAGAATATTCAACTTTGTTGCAGTGGCAGTGAATATGATCCAGAGAGGTTTGCTGGGAGTCACATTCCAATTCTGGTAGTGGGTACAAAGATGGACCAAATAGACCCAAGGAGGGAGAGTGTCTTATCAAGGAGTAGTCCAGTAGCTGAAGAATGTGGTGCTGATGAAATTAATTTAGTGAGTACATCACAGTGACCTTTCTCAATACAATGTATAATAAAAAGTACCAGACTTTCTCACCCAAATTTTCTAGACTTTTTTGTTATATTCTTCAATATTTCTGGAAATGAATCCTAATTGAACCAACAGTCAATTTTCACTGGCTATTTTATCCCAGTCTTCTGAAGGAAAGTAGACTATAAACAGGACTATTTTGTGAATTTGCTATGAAAAGAGAGAATTTGTAATGAAAAGGTTAAATTTGCTTTCTCATTTTGCAAATATGTAAAACATCACTTCCAGAACAAGCTAAAAAACATAAAATGTCTTCAAATGATTCTATTTTAGTTAAAAAAATGATATATTATAAGTAGGTATCCTGCCCTCACTTTACTGCCCATGTACCAGAGGGTCTTATCTCTTATCACATAATTATCTACAATATAACTGACCTTCAAAGACAAACAATGCCTTCTAACTCAGTGAATGTTTGTTTACAAATCTTGAATAATTTTGGAGGTTTACCTAAATTAATATTCTGCCACTAATGTTTCATTACTTGCTCAAGATATCAAAATTAGAACGTATCGTATATATTTTGGTGTATATATTCAAAATGAGAGTTCAACTTTATATCTTGCATTTGAGGAAACTTGTAAATTTAATTAGCATAATTAGCATAGTACAAAAATGTACTTTTTTGGGAGCCCCTGCTAATGTAGTTCTTTTTGCTGTTCAGCAGCGACTGTAGCTAAATTGTGAATAGCATTTCATTCTAACCACAACGTAACAGATTGTGATTTGACAAATATAGCTGTTCAATATGAACACTTGTCTACACTAAAATACCATATCTTGTCTGTCCTGTTTATGGTGCACTGCTGCATTTAGTGGTAAACTGGTTTATCACCACACGTAGAGAAAACGCTGCTTCCTACCATTTCTAAGAGAAATAAAAAAAAATATGAAAAAGATGAAATGAATCTGTAAGCCTTTACCTTGTTAGTTAATACCAACAACTGAATAGTTTTCGTGCTACTGGTACCTCCATGACAGGGTTAAATTGCTGTATGCAAATTTAACATGCATCTGCTTTGGGTGGCATAATTGGCGTTGTGTTTATAATAAATGCATTCTATTGGTCGAACATGAACATGTATTCCCACTTTCAAAAACAAACATGTCTGTGTCTTTGATATCAAATAATATTTTTGTTCATGTTCATGTCTTCCCTCAGAAACCATGATGTCACACAACCCCTTTTCTCATAATTGACATGGGGGCACTGTTCAATATATTGCACCAATTTACATTGTTGTTGTTATATTTTCACCAGGATTGTATGCAGTCTAAAGACCTGGCAGCTGGAACATCAAAAGCTGTCAAGTTCAGCAGATTCTTTGATAAGGTAAAGAATATACAAATTGGCTATACTTCATATTGATGTTTTGATTGGTTCTATGCTTTATGCAAATTAGCAATATTTACATATCATTTGCATATTTAAGCATAATGTTTTTGTGTTCTGTTTTATTACTGCCATAAATGACATCTTAACACATTTTAGCATAATTTAATAATTAAATTGCATATAGTGAAGCTTCACTATGTATCTTATTACACCCAAATTTAATGGCAAACAAAAAGAATAAGTATAAATAGGTGTATGGTACATGTATATATAATTTGTACAATGACCCAGTCATTGATATTTAACTCTGGCACATTTGTCACTGCTGTCTTACAAACATTGTGTTTATTACACAACAACACATTGATACCTGGTTGGAATATCAAATCAAAGTATTAACATTGCCATAGTGGTGCTGTAGATTTGATAGGAGCATAATTATTTTTAATTTGTTCATAAAGCACAGTCTTAGCCACATGTCTTATGGTTCTAATCACAAATACTGCCAAATCGTTAATTTACTACCTAGCCACCTCCAACCCAAACACTGTAATATTGATGTATGTTATATTGAAACATTTGTATAACTCAAGGCACTTTTCCCTAAAATGGAAATTATCTCCAAATATGGAGACATTCTTTTGATTAGAATCCAAGTGCTTTTTGAATCTCCTAATAAATTGTGTAAACAAATCATGTTAAAATATTTGGTGAATATCCTCCAATCGATTTTCTCACCAAAAGGTGAATTTTGCTGTTGGTATTTTGAGCTGGGCTGCTTATTGGGTTGACAAAAATATCTCTGGTATCAAGTAACTGTATTCCAATTGAGACCTGCATTCATCTTTTCATCTGGTGAATCTTCCCAATTTGGAGTTAGTCTGCATTTTGTTAATACCCCAGAAATTTTAAATTTGTTTTGTCAGAATAATAGAGTAATCTTTTCATTAAAGGTGCATTTAGGTAAAATGATGGTATTCCACAATAGTGATCCACTGTACAAGTACAATTCACGAAACCTTGATTATTCTCGACCCCAATTGCTAATAAACTTCAGCATCATTGCTATACAAATACATCACAGTATGTGCTTCACTAATAATAACCTTATATCACCAATAACTGAATAAGTAACTATAACATCAACATGCAAGTCTGCAGTAATCACTTAACAACATTGTTCAAAATCATTTATCTTTGCAAGTCTCTCCTCTATTTGACTTTATATTTGTTCTATGCAGTGCTTTGAGACTTTGCTTTCCGATTCTGTCTATCCCTATGTTTGTAGGTGATTCGTCGTCAGTTTTACTGTAACACGTCTAAGGATTCACCTGCTAAGGTCTGTCTCTACATTCATCACTACAGCCTCTCAATAAGTTGTAGCATTGTTGTTGTTTTTTGTTTCATAATCAGACGTTATGTTCTCTTCATGGTTTTGTTTAAAAATTGGGTGTTGAGTGCCAAACCAACTATCTCTCTGCACAAAATTACATTCATGCATAGTTAGTGTTTCCTCTAAGCCTTATTTTTGTACATTTGTTTCACTGTGAAGCCTCTAAGTTTCTGTGAATAGTGAGAAATATGAGATTTTTTTTTATTTAATCTATTTTGAAGTGAAGTGAAGTCAAAACATTACTCAGTGCAAAATGTGCTATGAAAGCACATTGTTTCCCACTTGAAGATAAAAACTCAATTTTATATTTTAAGCTTGCTAAGAACTAAGAACTACACAGGTTACATTGTTGTGGTGTGACACCTGATGACAAATTGCAGATGAATTTGTAATTTATTCTCACATGGTGTGCTTTATCGCAAATGGCACTTTTTGTCTGAAATTTGGAATTGGCACAACCCCTAATGAAAATAGATAGCTGTCTTGATTTGTAATCGTTCTCGTCATCCACTTCATTACATTATATAAATAGATACATAGATTTATGTGTAAGTATTTAATCATTTTTCGTTGTGCACAAGAGATAGTTGGTCTGCAGTGAATATACATCTCTGCGCATCACTGCCTAACATAACAAGCATTCACCACCAGACTTTCTTGCCCAAATTTTTCTGCACTTTTTTTTTATATTCTTCAATATTTCTGGAAATGAACCCTAATTTTGGACAAACTTTGAGTGAATTTTCACCCAAATAAATTAGCTATTTTTGCCCTAGTCTTTTGAACGAAAGTGCAGACTATAAACAGGACTATTTTGTGTATTTGTGATGAGATGAAAAGAGGGAGCTGGTGGTGAAAAGGTTAAATAAATGCCCACACTTGTACGGCTAATATCAACGTCTGTTGTATATTTGAAGATAAATAAATATATTCAAGGCTATATACTTATTGATGGGCTAATCTATAGTGTCTTTACCTTCACCCCTCTACCCCTTCCTCCCAAAAAATTGGTCATTATGGACCAAACTATATTGTGATAGGGGGTTGAAGGCAAAGATTAAAAACATAAATAAACAAGTTCTAGTTCTTTATTCATTGTAACCGTATCTAATGGCATGTGTCTGATGCTACTTACTTTTATGCATGACTTTCTGCATAACAACTGCTTGTTTTGTGCATGATGGCTTGTATGTTTACATCTGAAAATATTGGTGTGCACTTGACTTGACAGATCTCTTTCCTGACTTGCACTGAACACTTAATAATCAAAATAATTAATAACAAGTCTAATAAGAAGTTCTTTCGTTGTGAACAAAACGTTTTGTTACGGTCATGCAGTTTGTCACTGCGTGCACATTTATACATCATTGCAGTAATGAAAGTTATTCACTGATACATGTACATTGGTATGATGGAGTATTCATGTACAATGTATGCATATGCACTGATTGAGGATGGCATGCAACAAAAAACATAATTTCACTTAAGTCATACAAAAATTCTGATCTGGATTCAAACTTGTAGATCTATTGAAAATAATTGTTGATCTACTAGGTAGAATTAAACCTTATACAATGTACATGTGTGGCATATTTGCTCTGTTAATAGTGTTGTATATGCTTACGTAAATTACAAAGTTATGTCTAAGACCAGTTATGTCGTATATACAATAAATGCAATGTTGGGTTTATGTGCACCCTCTATTTGAGATGTGCTTCTATTAGAATATTAAATCTCACATGTAATTATTTATATATGATCTCCAAAGTGAAATTATTGTTATTTTGATAATTCAGATAAAATAAAATAAATAAAATACATTTCTTTCACAATCTAAACTAAACACGTCACATGTCAGATCACATGTTAGGTCACTTGCATTTTAGGGTGTCCAGTACACAGGTCATTAGTTGGGTTCTACATAGTGCGTACCGGTATATAAAGGTGATTAGTAGGAAAGAATGCATAAAACTGCACTTTGTGGTAAATTGTCTCTGTTTTCAATAATTTGATTAAAGAGCCATCTACTGCAATTTTTAATTCATGTAAACTTCTGTCAAATTAGTATTGACAAGTTGTAAGATGTTGTTTCATTTGTGTACATCAGACCGCATGTTAGATCAAGTGTCTGTAAGAATTGCACTCGAGCAGTTCTCCTATGACTGTCAATAAGCTTGTGGGCACCTCACCAAAGATAGTAAGAGTTTTGATTGGTTACTGCTTCTAAGAGTCATGATTTTCCTACTACACGACTGGTCACATGTAATTGCAGATGATGTACACCAGTGACTGGTTATGTATATTTACTGAGATAAACCCACCCTACAACTGATTCAAGTCAGATGGAAAATTAATGTCAGAGAATGCAGCTCATGTTCCTTTAACTACTTTAAATAAAAAACATGTTGTGGTTCCTATAACAAACTTTTTGAACAAAAGAGTACCGGTAGCTCAGCTAGATTTTTTCTTTTTAATTTTCCAACTGTTTACTTTTTTCCCAGCAAACAAAGACTGCCTTTGTAGTTACAAATGTCATCATAGATGTAAATCATATATGAAGTTGTTTACATTACCAAGTTTTGCAAAGATTTAAATCTCTGTAAAATCTCATTCAAAACCTGGCACAATTTTGTGATGTTTTTCTCAAATATGGCCAAAAACAAAGGTCTGGTTGTCAAAATAAGGATAGGTTGAGTTATAGGAACCACACATGTTTTTTTCTGTATTGAATGTCAATGTGTTATGAAAATATATGTGTGTTTAGGGGGTTAAAGTGTCAAATATGTTTAACAATCTCTGGAATTTTTTTAGTTCACATTCCATAGTCTCCAACACAGCCATAATGTTTTAACCTTTTCACCACCAGACTTTCTCACCCAAATTTTGCTGCACTTTGTTTTTTAAAATTTTTCATTATTACTGGAAATGAACCCTAATTTTGGAGCCAACAGACAAATTTTGAGTCAATTTCCAGTTTCTGCTGCAAAAATTCTACTAATTCAGACTATAATATGGGACTATTTTGTGAATTTGTGATAAAAAGGGGGAACTGATGGTGAAAAGGGTAATCATTGGTGTTACTATTGGAGGGCAAAACGTGGATTTTATAATCACTGTATACATGGGTAATGGGTATAGAATTCAGGTTGTAGCATGTTAACCCATTCCCATAATGGAAGTAGACAGAGAGGTGAACTGTTCTGGTATGGTAATTCTGATGTTAGTCTCAGCCCTAGTGGGAGCACTCCCTATGGTTTTGGAAAACATGGAGTGTAAAACACTGCATGTGCAGAGAGATGTTGAGTAACACTAGATATACATGTACATCATGTCTTCAGCATTGAATGAGTTTGTATGCAAACGTTTCAATGTAATGGCGACGACATGTAGGTTTATTTAAAATGTGTTTATGGGTGTGGCTGCAGCCAGCTGCATGAACTTTTCCATCTAGGTGGGTCAGGTATGACAGAGTATACATTTCTTGATAATGTTTTATTTATTAAAATCAATTTACAAAGATACAGTGAATTTTTTCACACGATTTAAAAAAATTAAAAATGTTTGGTCTGTAGATTATTGTAAACTGCTGTAATTTCCAGTGAGACAAATGTTTGTAGCAGTGACAATTTTTATTATGTTGTCTGACACTGAGTTCCAATCACTCTTGCAAAATTTAGTCTTTGTGAATGGTACAAAATCCTGAAATCTCAAAAATGTTTACCAACGAAAATGGTTTACAGTATTTCTCTACATGTTGAAAATTTTATTAAATTGAAATTATTATTTTTTCTTGCCCACTGGATGGCATTAGTTATAACATTATCAAATTTGTTATTTATCTGTCATACCCATGAAATCATCTACAATGCCAATTTTACCAAATTTTATTTTATTTTATGAGAAACTTGTGTCGAAATAAACAGTCACTCATAAATGCCCTGCTAGTGAAATTGTTTTACATGAATGTGTTAATTATTAAACAGGTATGTAATGTCCATAAGCGCATAGTGCCCGACTTACATGTACTTGTCCAGTGGCATCACTATATTTCCCAGTGTAATACATCATCAGAATAAATTTGTCTATATTTTCAAGTTTGTTTTGAAAACAATTGCAGGGGAAAAAATGTTAATATCTCAACACCATCAGTAAAAAAAAAATTAAACAAGAAATGATTGGCATTGTAATGATAACAAATGTTAGGTATTCTTGGGTTAATGAGAATTCTATGGTTAACTTGGAGGGTTTTAAATACTTTTTTTCCGATATTACATCTTGATGTACTACTGTACATTTGCATGTGTGGACCATATCTTATTGTAAACTAAAATTATTTCGTTCATCTAGTATATATGTTCATTTTATTTTTGATAAAATAATGCATAATCTATGCGAGTAAAAAATAAACTTTAATTTATTGATACGTACAATTAAAGTTATTTTCTGAGATCATTCATAAAGCTTCATTTAGTGTCTTGAGATTTATATGTGTACATGTACATTTGGTGACATGGATATGTGTCAATTGTGGGAAATACTCATACTGATAAGTTCCCACAATTAATGCAAATTCCGACCGTCAGCTTCACATTAGTCACATGACCCTTTTAGCTTTAGGAATGATATCAGAGTGCAAATTTAATTCAGTGTTCCTTCCTTCAATGAACCACTACTCATTGTGTTTCATTAGCTGCAAAACCAATTAAAAAATTAAGTTTACAATGATTAATTACCTGGTTGTCATCAAGGTGCATTATTAAAAATAAATATTAGTATTTTCTCCAAATTATCCATATTGCTCATTTAAGATAGTTATGCATGCGTGAAGGCTAAATTACGAGATCTGAAATATATTGACTAATTTCCATTGTATATTATGATGAATCAGAAAAATGGCCCCAATGCTTCTTTGTTGCCTTCTTGGCTTAGTTGGTACAAATAAGTTCTGAACTGGTAAAAACAGGTAATATTTAATTTTTATTTTATTTTTTGCTTTTCATTTATGCAGATACAAAATGTATATCAAAGAGTACTAGTAATGCATACATATTTTTACGCTGAGCTGCAAAGTTATTAAAATAATAATATCATTTTATTTGTACATGTATTTTCAGTTTGGTGATTTTATATTAAAAGTACATAAATTTCACCTGCATATGACAGACAGCCATAGCATTTTAGTGTGCATTGTTATCATTACTTGCGACTCAGTTTCAGCATATGTGCAGATTCAAACCTCTCCACTTTAAATGTTCTTTTAATGAACAGGGGAACAAACCTGTGACTTGATATAGCTGCAAGACAGCTAATAACAAATTTCTTCAACTGTGCTGTATAGTGAGATGCATGTATATTTCTTGGTAATTTTTTTTCAATGTATGGTTTTCTATTGACAATGATACGTTAGGGAATGAGCATAACAACATGTAACCAGATTAAGTTTTGCAGGACAGTCCCCTCTCAACTACCGGTACATGTACTGTCTAGACATAAAGCACCTAAAATGTCCACATGGTTACATAACCAAAATCCTTCATAGGAGATCCAGGCTACTGTCAAAAGGGAGTCTCATAGATATACATTGTAACTCATGAAGTCATGCTATTCTGCTTTTGTGACCACATAATCATTACTGACATATAAAATAATGATTGCAATTTGGGAATAACTTTGAAAAGTATTTCATTGCCTTCACAGGTTATAGAAAGAAGATTTTTTGCAAAAGACCCATTCCAAGTAAGTTGCTATTCACAAGACTTATTTATTTTTTGATAGTTATTTATTGTCTTTTAATACTACTGTCACATTAAAGCGAGGGAGTCGTCACCTACACATGCGTCAGATGGCCGTAGCGTGTCATTGTTTACCCATGAGCCTTTGCGTTTTTAGCGTGTGTTATCGTCGATTGGGACTCAATTCCCGCACGTGTGCAGATGACGACCCTCTCACTTTAATATATCAGTCATGCATTGCTATTTAGATTTATACTTTGGCTGAGTGTATGTAATGTTTGAATTTCACTTGAATGCAGTGGTAGTGTCCTATAAATTCAGGGGTGAGGGTTAATCTTACGAGGAAATGAATATTGATTGTGTAATATAGTCCATCATCGAACAGAAAATCCTGCATGCACTTGGGAGACTTGTGGATTCCATGAAATATTAAAAAATCTATCACAACCAAATCTTTGCCAAAGTTCTTGGTTATATTCATTTACTGGAAAAAAATTGCTCACTCACCGGAAATACCATAATTTACATTATTATATTACACATATTGCCTCATGTGGCTAAATTTTTCCTAATTTAAAAATACAACTTCAATACCAAGTATGGAGATTTGTGAACTATTAATTCTGTGGTTATTTAACTTGGACACCATAAAAAAGGGGCATGGATTGAAAAGCTTTGTAAGGGCCTAACCCTATATGACTTATAACATTCCATGCACCTGGACATTGCATTACATGGTGATAACCTTATTATTATACATCTTTTCCCTGCTGTTGTAATAATTTAATTTAATTTTTAATGAGATTTCCAAATAAGGAAGACATTCAAACATGTCTGTAACACTTTAAAACATTTCCATTTGTGGATGGATGAATTCTATTGTTTTTGATGTCAGATGTATAATAATATGAGGTTATTACAAGGATACTGCAAAGTATGCACAAAGACAGTACAGCGGGAGTATCAACTGACTCAGAGTGGAGGTCAATGTGACTGCGTACTGTCTGAGTGCATACTTTGAAGTACCCTCATAAAACCCTTTTTATTATACATTTTTTTCCACCAGAAATACATCGTGGGAATGTAGAATTTCAAAACTTTTAGAACAGATTAGCGAACTTCTTTGTGTGGGATTCGGTGAAACCCCAAGGGAAGCCTTACACATGTAATCGTTCCATATTTGGAATTTGTATTTCCTATTATGGTAGGATGAAAATACCCCATAAAATACAGCAAAATTCTGGCATGCTGTAACTCATGGTGCTACAGTGACAGATGTATAATAATATTAATTATATGCATATATTCAAACATAAATTCATGAAACGCAGAATTCAAACTCTTCTTGCCACTATAATATATGATTTGTGATATGTGGTATGTAGATTGTAGCATAATGTAGGTTTAATAATTCTGCCTATACATGCATGTCACATAGGACAAATTTATTGCATCTGCAATGTATATGCAAACTGCAACATGTCATATGAAGTATTTGTGTCTGTTCCTTTGCAGTCAGTTTCCACTAGTTCTTACATGTACACAGACAGAAGACGACCTGTTGCGCCACAGTATATTTCAAAAACATGCCATCAAGACTGACGTTTTCCTGAAGCTGCAGAAGATCTTTAATATCTTTCTATCTAATATGGGGTTATTTTCCAATTCTACGATATCATGGTCACCATAGTGAACCAATTATTCTGCTCTGAAAGTGTATTTATTTAAAGGTCAGAAATGACTGAGAAAGAGAACGTACCAGTCTTTTACAAAATATATCTAGTCTTACAATGGGTGTACAGATAATGGAGCATGAAAGGACATTTTGTATTCCTTCATTGACCCTTTGGTTTTCTACTGCCATGACTAAAATAAGGCAATCTACTGCTGAAAGTTGTGGTCTGTTTAATACGGTGTAGGATTATTGGCATAGTCTTGCAATACATGCATTTTTACTACCATGTAGCTCTTTTGTTTTACTGGACAAATTATTTTCAAATGTGCAATACTGTAATAGCTTTCACTAAAACCAGTAAACAAATTTTATTTGCCACCTTGTACAAGATTATTTGTTCTATCTAATCTCTCTTAGTCGGTATTGACCATTTCCATATACATATGTCTGAAATATGGTTAAAAATGCCGTGTAATTGTAATTGTTTAAAATTGCTTTCACAAGTTTTGAGAATATATGAAACATCACTGCCAGAACAAAATTGAAACATAAAATGTATTAGAATGATACTGCATATTTTAGCTAAACGTATGTTATATTAAAAGTATCGAAACCCCACTTTCCCTCTAATTTCATTTTTGAGGTTGAGACTGTTTGTAAGTTGTACATAATATTTGAAACACTACACTAACATATTGTGGAGTTATTAAAGCCATGTCCTTACTCCTGTACAGTCATGGTTGAAAGAATTTAGAACCAATGGGTGTTACTCGGCACTACAATACCGGGTATATACATTTCACGCTGGTCACACGAACATGAGAACATGAACAAATTTGTTTTGATTTTTAGCAAATAAAATTGTATTTGGGTTTTTTTAAATTCTCAAAATAATGACACTATCATACAATATACTATATAAATATATGTACAACCACGTCAAGAGGGTCAATATTTATGTATTTAAGCACTGAAGAACCATCAGTCTAATGTAAGTACACGGTAATAATGAACACAAACTTTACTTTTATTGTGAATTGAATTAATTGATATATTAATAATTCATGTCATTATGTATCATGTTCCCCTTAAATATTTTATTCTTCTTTCGACTTTATTTTCAAAATGTCACAAGGTAGTGTGATGTTTTGTTATCAAACTGGGACTTAAGAGAATTTTTAGATATATGACCAATGGGCTTCATGTAAATAAATGGGACATTGTTTTCAAAGAACACTTGAGTTAATGTGATCTATCTTCTTTGATTTGTTCACTGTATTTCAACTGATCCAATATGGTAATATAGGAATAATATAGCTAACTAGTATTTATGTATCCTATCCAATATTTATAAGATACAATATTGTCAGCAGGTATCTGCATGTATTCAAGATGGCTAAATATGCTTTGTGTTTAAGGAATAACGCAATACAATGCCCATCACTGCACATGGTATAACACCGCTATCAGAATAAGAGGTTTTATGATGTCATACATTCACATTATCACACAATAATCTCTATTTGCAAGTGAATTCATTTTAACAAAATGCCCCAAATTTAACTAAATTCTGATGGTGGTAATTTATAACAGTAATGAATCCCCCATAGCTTCATATTGGATTTGTAGAAAAGTCTAGACGCGATGTTTTTGACTCGCCTTGCCATTATCTTGCCATAGACCTTTCTCAACTAATATGGTACTGTGGTGGATTCGTTTTTGATTAAATAACAGGAAAAGGACAGAGATGTATGAAATAATTTGTCAGACGAAATCAACATCCCCATTCAAGCCCTGTTATTAGTCTCCGTCCGAACGAAGTCCGAAAACGAGGACTTATAATTCGGTCTCCGTGCGTCCGTCCGGAGTCATATCTCAGAATCCCTTGGACCGATTCCGTTCATTCTTTGCATGTGCCTAGTACTTTATGTGGGACATATGCACATGCAGTGGTTTAGTGATTTGATTCAAAATGGCCGACTGACAGCCATCTTGTTTTTTGAAAATGTTGCATTTTGGACATGCTTTGTCAGTTTTCATTCAAACTTGGTACATAAATTATACCTGTTGGGATACATGTCCATGACGATTTATTTCACAATTGGATCAAAGATGGCCGACCGGCAGCCATCTTGTTTTTTGAAAATGTTGTATTTTGGACATGCTTTGTCAGTTTTCATTCAAATTTAGTACATAGATCATACATGTTAGAATACATGTCCCCGACCGTCCGTGAGTTCCCGTGTGTCCGTCCGTCCGTTCATGCGTCAGTCTGTTCAGAGTCATATTTCAGAATCCTGTGGACCGATTTCGTTCATTCTTTGCATGTGCCTAGTACCTTATGTGGGACATATGCACATGCAGTGGTTTAGTGATTTGATTCAAAATGGCCGACTGACAGCCATCTTGTTTTTTGAAAATGTTGCATTTTGGACATGCTTTGTCAGTTTTCATTCAAACTTGGTACATAAATTATACCTGTTGGGATACATGTCCATGACGATTTATTTCACAATTGGATCAAAGATGGCCGACCGGCAGCCATCTTGTTTTTTGAAAATGTTGTATTTTGGACATGCTTTGTCAGTTTTCATTCAAATTTAGTACATAGATCATACATGTTAGAATACATGTCCCCGACCGTCCGTGAGTTCCCGAGTCTGTCCGTCCGTGTGTCCGTCCGTCCGTTCATGCGTCAGTCTGTTCAGAGTCATATTTCAGAATCCTGTGGACCGATTTCGTTCATTCTTTGCATGTGCCTAGTACCTTATGTGGGACATATGCACATGCAGTGGTTTAGTGATTCGATTCAAAATGGCCGACTGGCAGCCATCTTGTTTTTTGAAAATGTTGTATTTTGGACATACTTTGTCAGTTGTCATTCAAACTTGGTACATAGATTATACGTGTTAGAATACATGTCCATGACGATTTATTTTGCAATTGGATCAAAGATGGTCGACTGGCAGGCATCTTTTTTTTTTATGCTGTATCTTGGACGTACTCTGTCAGTTTTCATTCAAATTTGGCACATACATGTACTTTATACGGTACATGTTAGGATGCATGTCCATGACAATTTGTTTCAAAATCTGGTCAAGAAGGCCGATTGACAGCCATCTGACTTTTTGGCCTTACTACTATATTTCCACAATTTATGTACCATTTTCATTAGTATTTGGCACATACATCATACATATCAGTGTGTTTCATAATCAGATCAAAGATGGCCGAATAACGGCTGTTTTTATTTTTGGCCATATTACTACTACACGCAACACGTGTTTTGATGTAATCTGTTGTATACGTCACTTGGAACACAAGTTTCAAGGACACAATCGTGACAACCCCTCCGCTTTAATATGACGAGCACGAAGAGAACTTTCAAAAATTTAACGGGGACTGTGTCATTTTCAATGACTTGTTATGCAGTAAAAGGCAGTGCGAAGTACTTAATCATGGACTTAATATATGTGCAGTGTTAGCTTGAATAGCAAGGAATAGATATTGTAGAGGAAATGTCAAGTCATACACACAATTACAAGTACCAATATGCCCGTACATTGGCCTCAAGTACTGCCCAGTTTGATAACGTGGTTGCACATGGATCTGACCAATGAGAGTGCAACATTTTGATAAAGGGCAATACACAGTATTATAATTCAGTTTAGCTAACTAGCATGCATCTTAATCCACAATGGGAGTGCAATCGATCTGATATTAAACAACATGAACACTGCACAGCTGAGTGGAGTTCAATATCAACAACTATATGACCGCAAGTACAGGTTTACAGCACATCAACCAGTGACGAATACCGTACATTGTGTTTGTACAAATTCCCTTTAAAGTCAGAGAAAAATAAGTTCACTTGGACAACAAAGGGGTCAAAAGACCATTGTGTTGTAATGACAGAACTTCGCAACTGTTATGAATATATGAACACCATCAATTCATCTGCTCCAATATGGTCATCAGGCATCTATCAGATTCAATACGGCGAATTAGCATCCACCTGACTCGATATGGCCAATAAGTATCTATTTGATCTAATGTGGCCAACAACCATCCCAATGAACATTTTTCCTGAAACCTATCACTCAATTGCTTTAATATTTGATATGAAATTACATTACCATGTGTTTCACTTCAATTCTCTTTTTTTTTCAGTGAAAAACTTTATGTATTAAAACTAAAAAAATGAAATTGACCAGCTTCAATGTGTCTATATTTACAGTGATATTATCATTGATTTTCAATTTTAGCAACTAGTTTTGCAACCTTCAGATCAATATATACAAGATGGCCAATTAACATTTATCTGGTTTATTCCATTATGGCCAACTGGAATTTATCATATACCTGGTATCGCCCGGCCTCGTAAGGCTATGGGAAGTGCACCATCACATCAGAGCAATAATTTCCTGTATAAACCATGGTAAAATTGTACCTATAAGGTATATGATAAAACCTTTATGGGCTGGGTACGGCATTTGCTGCCCTCGCAAGCTCTCGGCGCACTACTTCCGGCCGCAAAAGCCGTATCCAGTCCATAAAGATTATTATCCGATCCAGTATGGCTAGCTAACATTTATCTAATTCAATATGACATTGTATTTATCTGACCCCGTATCATGACCAATTATTGATTTAGTTCAATTTGGCTTTTATCTGAATGCATTACTTTATCGAATGACACATAATAGCGAACAACAATAGAGCTTATAGTTGTGCTGGCCATGTGCATATCGTTTTCCAGTTCGAGTACTGAACAAAAAAGTGTATTCATCACACAACTATGTTGCAAGAATAGTGGGTAAACATATATTAAGAATGGACTCTTACTTATGTCTTTTGAATCATAGCAAGCATATATTTATTAACGAATTAAACTGTATACAAATGTTAGGAATACTCCAATCTTTTGGTAGATTACGTTATGAAAGTTGTAAGGCATATTTAACTTTAGAGATACTACTGATAGATTTCTTGATAACAAATCCCGAAAGGTGATGATTTGGGTGGGAGTTTTATTGAATGCTTTAGTTTAAACCTAATCGGTAATACATATTAGTACTCTATCAACTAGAAATGATTTACTGAGTATGAATTACAATGATAAGATGCCATGTATAATTGACATTTTAACTAATGTATGATTCTTGCAGAACTGGTGCTATAGTCAGGATATGTTGTGGTCTTGTGGGTTTCGCTGTATCAGTTCACAATAGTGTGTCACCATCACCCAGATCTTGAACCACTTCAGAATTTTCAATGCCGTTTTCTTCATCTTTTTTGTGGGTACGGGAAATTGTTGCATAGACAGGTACTGCAAAAGGAGATGTTCAACATATTATGTCGCCGGTTTAGATGGAGGATGTATGTAGGAATTAATACGCCAATGTAGCATAAGTATGTGTTCATGTGAAGACGATTAAATCAACTAGACAAGTATTTTATTCTACCAGACCATATACAGACAGGGTTTAGCCAAATACGACTTTCAGGAAGAGTACTTACCATCCTCCTGCACATAACCAGAATTGTCATATGTCACTACACTCTGTGTGAACTGGGTGCCATTTGTATTTGTATCACCAGGGACTGCATACTCTTGATTTTTACTTGTCTGTTTACACTGACATTTCACAATAAGTATGAATAACAGGATTGCTGCAATGCCTAACATCACACACCCAACTATGATTCCTGTTGTGCGGGAGCTATCATTTGGGACTAAATTGTTGCATGTACTTCCTTGCCAGTCACTGCTACATTTACATTTGTACCCATCACCAGTAATACTGCACTCCCCGTCATGTTGACACGGATTTGGTTCACATGGATCTTGATCACGACATTTGATTCCCATCCAACCTGCTTTACAAGCACATTCATACCCTCCATCTGTACGGCTACACACTCCTTCATTCTCACAGGGAGAGCTGCTGCAGTAGTCGAACATCTCGCATTTGTCGCCATAATACGATAAGGTGCAAGTACACAAGAATGTACCTCCCCCGGCCTTACAGGTACCCCCATTGTAACATGGGTTCGGTGCACACAGATCATTCTGATCACATACCTCACCCTCAAAGCCGTATCGACAGTGGCAGTTGTATTTACCCTCAGCATCTGGTGTGCAGGTTGCTCCATTCATGCATGGCATGGAGGCGCATTCATTCACTATGTCACAGTGTTTGCCAACATGGCCATCATCACAATCGCATTCATAGTCATACATCATGAAATCTCTACATGTCCCAGCATTGCATGGTTTGTTTTTGTAGCAGATACTTTCATACTGGCATAAGTTTCCAAGATAACTTTCTGTACAGTCGCACATTACATCGCCATCATTACATGTTCCCTCATTTAGACACGGGTCATCGTCACATGGATCAACAGGTGTGCACCCTTTGTCTCCAGCATTCATTCCAGGAGGACAGGTACAGTTATACATATCACCAATTTCTAAACAGATTTCTGAATCATCACACGTGTTATTTGTGCAAGGCGTTGTACAGCCTTGCATCAGTTCGGTTGGTTCTCCTGCTACTTTTCCAATGGTTTCACCAAAGCCAATGTAAGATTTGCCAAATCGGGCATCTTTCATGCATCCTATGAAATCACCATGGATCACCCCAGTAGACATGTCATATCTTGCTCCTATGACAACTCCCGATGATTTGTCAACCTCGAGGTCAGTGTAATCACCAGCACTGCCTTCAACACGTCGACATCCACTACCATTGTCAAGAATAATCTTGAAATATGAGCGTGCGCGATGTACAACTACAGTGTGCCACGTGTTATCATTCACTAATATACTATCCAATGACAGTTGGTGTTCTCCGTCACCAAGGTCATACTTAACTGTGACATATCCATTCATCAGTTCTATGAATATGTACTCTAAACCTTCTCGCATTTCAGCAGATCTGATATGCCCCAACGTAGCATCGCTCTGCTTTGTACGAAAGGTAACTTGATAGTCTGATATTCTGGAATTGGCTACACCATCCTCTAAAGTGTATTGTACGTAGCTTCCGTCTCCAAATGTGTACTCAGGCGTAATCTCGTCACAACTATCACCATGGTAACCAAGCTGACACACGCATCTGTGTGAAGATCCAGCTGCCATACATTCTCCATTCATACATATGGGATTAGACTTGTCGTCATAACAATGATGGTCTGTAGACGTGCATCCATTTTCACTATTCATCTGAAATGCAGGATTTCCTAAATGATATAGATTTCCATCAATGTCAATTGCTCCAATGCACCCGTTAAAACCATCAGTCATTTCTGTTGGATACGCATAGCTACTGTCTATGCCTCCGACTTGCAAAGGTGTATTCAAGTACAGATTCCTAGAACGATAACAGGAACATTTGATTACAAATTAGTAACAGATTGCCCTCACACTTATCAGCAATACAACAGCATAGCAGATCCTAACTTTTGACCCAATTTCGTTTTCAATCCGTGATCAAGTCTGAGCACGCAGAAAACATCATTATATTTTCTCTAAACGTTTTAGTTAGGCCACACTGATTTAATTTTATGGATGACATCCTCTGGAGACCCCAAAACCAATGCGAGAGGGCAAAAAAAAAAAACCTGCCAAAAAAAAAAAAATGCTTCTAAAACCACAGGACTACGAAGCTGGTATTACGAATTGAACCACAGAACACAATGTATCAAAAAACAACAAGAAGTCTTTATTTGTAGGAGGCACATGTTGATATACACATCTCGTACTGTATTACTGTCACAGGTATAACCATTTCAGACAAGCTCTAGTACATGTAGTCATTATGAAGTACCTTCAGTCAAAACACTGCATTCAAGGTACAACATGAACATCATTTTCAGTACAAGTCAAGGCGGAATGTACATATCACTACTTTATGACAATAACTAAAAGAACATTGCAATGATACAGAAATGTCCTTGCTTACTCCTCTCTACACAGTAGGGGTTAGCTTTAACCAATCTCTCGTATAGCTGTGTAAACGTCACAACTCCCTGGCCGACGTCAATTGCGTACCAGTCTACAACAATCCCTCAGTTTTTTCTCTGAACTTTTATGCTCACGTATTCCCGGCAACGCAATACGCATATGCAGAAGATCATTTACGACAAAATTGGCACGTTTTAAGATAGTCCAAAAAGAGTTTAACGACAAGCCGGCGCTTTGCGACGATATAAGTCGGCAAGTTCCGGACAGAAAACCGATCTGTGGAGGCTCGTCGTCGGAGATTTTTTTTTTTTTTTTTGAGAACAGGCGAAAACTAATGCGCGCGTGGATGTCATCCATAAAATTAAGTCGGTGTAGCCTTAGTAAAAAAAAACTTACATGTTTGTTTCGTCCAAAATCCCATTGATTCGACAAGTTGACGTATCTTCTTCCCGGTAAGTTGGATATTCCATGACAGATGAAGAAATACAGAAGTTAACCATTAGTTCAATTTCAGATCCACTTTTCAAGATTGTGATGAGGTGCCATCTTCCATCACTAAGCTTAGACGATTCAGTGAGTTCCAAGTCTAGGGATTGTGATCCAACACGAATACTCAGCTTTGGTCGTCCCTTGACCAGTCTCAAAGCTATGTAGTCACCTTCGTCAGTAGTCATCGGACCATTATAAAAAATCAATCCATTTTCCCTTGATGTCAGAAACTGTATACGTATAACGGAATCCTGGCAGATCTCCATAGCATCATACCAGGCGTAGCTATTTCCTGAAAAACTTCTTTTTGTGCTTTGGCACCTTGGGGACGAGTAACCTTCTGGGCATGCGCATCTGTAACCGCCTTCAGGCGTCGGAAAACATGTTCCACCATTGAAGCAAGGATTCATATCACAAGAGACTTCCACGCACGACTTGGCTTTACACTCGCATACCGCAGTCTGCTTCACAGTGAAGGGAACGGACAAGGACACGTTCTTAGCACCCATTAACACTTGACTGGTTTCTAAAGAAGATACGACGGAGCATGACTGTCCAGGACAAGTGGACTCGTCTTGGCATGGGTTGACAGTCACACTCTGGATGACGATACCAACATCTTCTTCAATCTGAAAAGTCAAATTATTATTATTATAGACTAAGTGTACAAATTACAAAGTATCACAATGAAATGTACACAAATAAATTGGCATGACAAAAACAAAAACAATACGTATTTACCGAATAAATATAATTTATAATAGTAATCTCACAGCTCAGAACAATAATTGATACAATATGTTTTGATTGCCCATTACGTGTTCCCAAGTTATGCGTAAAATCAACAGGACAAACAAATGTCATGATAGCGTCGTAGTCACGTCAAAAGATTTCGTGGATCTATTGGACAAATTAAAGCGAAAGTATTTTGGGTATTTTCGCACTTAATACATGTGCTATACAAATTTTATGAGGGTCAATTTTGATGACGTAATATTTTGGGTATTTTCGCACTTAATACATGTGCTATACAAATTGTATGAGGGTCAATTTTGATGACGTAATATTTTGGGTATTTCCGCACTTAATACATGTGCTATACAAATTTTATGAAGGTCAATTTTGATGACGTAATATTTTGGGTATTTCTGTACTTAGTACATGTGCTATACAAATTTGTTGAGGGTCAATTTCGATGACGTAACGCCATATTTCTTTCTGAAAGATCGACATTTCGAACTATAAAAAATAAAGAAATTTCAAAATAATTTCGATTTTTGCGGCAGACGTTCGGTCCGCGCTCTTCAGGCAATACGAGAGATTTCACAGTGAAACGAAAATAGTCTATTTTTGACGTTTTTTCTGTATAACCCCTGGAGTTACGAAACAGTAGATCTCAACAACTGCATATGTCGGTGTAATGATTTCACTACTTCACATTTATAATATTAGCTTATGTGTATAAAAACCCATGACAAAATACCAAATAGAATTAACTGAGTTTTGTTTTGACAGACACTAAATTCCATTCCGAGGCTCAAAGGAATACAAAACGGGATACTTAAAATACGCCCTCTAGCGACGAACATTTTCTGACATGTTAATGTGGGGGCGCCTTTCACTGTGTCGATGATGTTTGTCCGTAAATTAAATATAATGTTAATATTTTAGATAATTATTACGTTCTAAATAATATGCATATTGTCACGATCGTTATCCGTTAACAAAAGGCGCGACTACATAATAATATCGTTTCATTTCAATAAATAAAAAAATAGCTTGCACCTACCTGATTTTTGTTTTTACCTAAGATGGCTTCCGAGGCTGTTGCTTGGTAACCATGTACGCTGTAACTGACATCAAACAGGTTGTCAGAGGTCAGCATCACTCCGACCTCGTTATCTGAGTCAGTTCGAACATTTTGGACACCAATAATATAGACTGAGTTGCTGTGAACTTTGAAAATGTTCGCCAGTGAGGCGACAAATCTCCCCGCTTGTCCTGCTACCAGAAAGTGTTCTGCCGAACCCTCTAGTCGAGTTGTTGTTGTCTGGGTTACAATGTCCTCGAAGAAATATTTCACGTTGATTTCTGCTGTGCAGTTTTCAGTTGGGTGGATGTCATCTGACACTTCAACGGTGAGCTGATATACGCCCTCTGGAGTTTTGTCTTCGATTATAATGTTTCCAGTACCTGTCTCCACCTGTATTAGTGTATAGGTATAATGCTCACTGTATGTATTTCATTAATGAAAAAGGCAATTTCTGCTCAGATGGCGCATTTTTTTTCATACCATGCGGGTTTATGTGACGTGGTGCTCTCACTCTCGCCTGATTAGTGGGTGGAGTAATTTGTAAATACACGAAAAGATGAAGTGGAGTACTGTGAGTAAGATGTTCTTTTACTGTATTCACCACAGTCAGCAAGGGAATAGATACATCGGGGGGGGTATTCACCTTGATTTTGGAGAGCTTTTTGCCTCCCTAATTGGGGTCATAGCATCGGCGCATACCTGCCTACTACAGCGATGGAAGTCCCTCGGGAGATGCATATTCCCACCACCGAAAGTTTCTACTAAATGGCACTGCTCTACACGATGCCCCTCAACACATTTTCGAAATGTTGTTTTCATTGTCAACAGTTTATGAAAGTACTAGTATTCGCAAATTCTGATGTTCCCTAGAGTGGGTTTAATGATCAAGGGCAGGACGGTAGACATTCATTTCACCTCAGTGATCACACTCAAGGCGATATGTACCAGTTTCGGGTCAAATATACATTTCATAAAATGTTGTATCACGCATACCTGAAAATAATCCGTTTCCGTGAGCAGATTAAATGTCTTGTCCCCGCTAACTTTGTCGTCTGGGTCATTACAAAATATTTTGCCTACAAAGCCATCTTTTTGGGATCGGCCGCGATATTGGTATACCGTAGCTTCCAAGTGGCCAGGGCTATGAGGATTATCGTTCATATCGTCTATCACAACGGTGACAGTGCTCGTTTCTGTCATGTTCCCGCTGTCTGTGATCGTGATCGGTAAATAGTAAAATGCCTGTTCCTCACGGTCGAAAGTCGTGTTAGTCGTCGTTATATTTGCAGTTTCTGTAAAAGACAGTACGGGTATCGTTATTATATTATAAACAATATCCAAATTACTCTGTTTTATCTTCGGAAAAACGAATTCTATCATTTGTTGGGTCCTATGTTATACTTTTAATAAGCATAATACAATTCCTTTGATGCCTCTCACGATGTATATCTCTCATTCATTGGATGACAAGTTATTGGAAATAGAAAATGTTCATATTTGTTTGCAACACAAGAAACAGTATGCGTTTGAAATATATACGTGAACACTATAATGATAAGTATGCAATAAGTCGCTGTACCAAAAACTCCGGGCGCATCTGTCCGAGCAATATGCATTCAAATATATATATATTTATTAAACAGGGGTAGAAATGGTACCAATTTGTTTTCTTATACATTTTGAAACATATAAAAACGTTTCCTCAAACTTAGAATAATCACTGTACCCAATTAAATAAAACGAATTTCGCCGGGATGTCACTCCAATGAGAGTTTACAAAATTAAATCAGACTAGCACTGCTGTGTTTTAAACGATGTATGTCTTTGGGTGTACTGGTACTCCATAAAAATTTCACGTATGAAAAACTGAAAAAATAAATGCATGTCGCAAAAAGCAGCAACCTCTCCGGTTTCTGTCGGAGCATGTAAAAATGTGTATAGATAGTGACCATTGTGCGTTGAACATATTTTAATAATCATACCACCATCTCCATTTTCCAGAAGAGTAAAACGATCATTTTCATCGGAAAGCGTGAAGCTAAATGGCCAACCATGATCTACATCGGCATCAATAGCTCTGATAGTAATGACAAACTGCTGAGTTGCCACATTTTCTTTTATCAAGGCGTTGCGAGAGTGTTCATCCAATGTAGGAGCATTGTCATTGATGTCTGTGACATTGATTGTACATAACGTTGTCCCAGTCCTTGGAGGAGAGCCTGGAATGATGACGAGAAACCGATTACATAATGCAAATATATAAAATTAAGTAAGCATACACGCGCCAAATACACAATTAATGCAATGTGTCCTCTAATTTGTAGTCTGACAGTCTGACGTGGCGGCCGATAGTTACTGCGCCCTCACCGACGGATTCACTATAGTTTGCGTCAAAGTGAATCCATCGGCGAGGGCGCAATAGCTATCGCGGGCCATGTTAGGCTACCCAATTTGTTACTCTATACGTTCTTTGATACCTCTTCCGCCGTTACTCGATAAGCGATCCTAGATGTAACCAGCCTCGTTATGGTCTCAACCCGATGTTTTAATGGAAATAAAAACGTTCGGTTTTATGCATCTTACAACGGCACAGCTGCAACAGCTACAGTCGTAAATAATTGCCATCAACTCACCATGATCTACGGCAAAAATTGTTAAATTGTATTGTTCTTTTTCTTCTCTGTCCAGACTTCCACTGAGAGTAATCACACCAGTCATACCATCGATATCAAATATTTCACTGTTTTCAGAAATCATGTATCTAATAAAATAAAAAGAAACATTGAAGTTTGTATCTATTGTAGAAGTACATGCTCCATACATCGATGATCAATTTCCTGTATATAAGAGTATGTTACATTTGTATGAAAAACGTCCGTCGTTTCTAGGCGATTTTACAAAATTTTGGATAGCGCATATTTTAGGCAAGCACGTCTTAATGAATAGCATACTCACGTTATATTAGAATTGTCACCAACACGGTCGGAATCAGTCGCAACCACAGTGCCGATGTATTCTTCCGTCCCTGCATTTTCCTCGGAAGCAAATTGGTAATTAAGTTCGGCAAACTCCGGGTCATAAAGATTAGCATCGACGAGTCTCAGTATTAATGAACTATCAGATTCAAATATGCCATCACTTACTTTCAAAGTTAGGTTGTATTGTTCAGGATCGGTGCTGATATTGAGGCTCTTTAAGTAAAAATAAAGAGTTATTAAATACCTTTAATATGTACCGTCATATTATAAATCGCGCCCCCTAGTGACGAAGCGCTTTTATGACGTCAATGGTGACATGAAAGCTGTTCAAAGTGTCGATATCATTTTTATCTGTAGTGTCCATCAAATTTTGAAGATTATGTTTTTTCAGAGATTCTAATGTATTCTAGATGACTAATGACGACAAAACCAACTACAGTGATCGACTTCAACGACATCGCCTTCACCCATACACGTAATTTTGGCATCAAAAATAACCCCGTCACTAGAGGGCGCGATTTTTAGGAATGGAAAATGGAATAACTATAGTGCAGATACTTCATATTAGTACTACATTTGCAGATAGCAGGATTTATATGCTTTAGGTGTCGAATGAATACGTATTGTTATCAGTCATTACAATATATAAAAGTGTGATATTGAAAATCGCCAAAATTAAAATTGATCTAACTATTGCTACACTGGACTCACTCGTGTTAGCTTCACAGTTGCTGTGTTCATAACTGGTCCGGCCTCAATATCAAAATGACTAGTACTGTCACCATTCACTATAAAAAATGTGACATTTTTATTGACGTCATTATCCATCGCTGACACGACATATACGTCATCCCCAGCAACCATATTTTCATAAAGCTCGGCGTAATACAGATCGTTAGTAAACCGTGGGGTCTCGTCATTGATATCTGATAGAAAGATTGTTGCAGTGGCACTACCTGGCAAAAAAAGAAAAGCATCTGATAAACGAACTGTGATGGCGCATTACTTTTCTCTGTCGTATAGATTGCGGCTGCGCGCCAACAAGAGCTGTTGATTCTATTGGTTCGTGCTTGTTAATGCAGTCACAAACTTTAAGTGTGTATGTGTAATTATATCGTTAGCAAGGTATTACTGGCCATGGGGTAATATTCACGTTTTTTCTATGAATATGTCTGTTGGTTAAACGGAAGAATCGAATCGAAGACATGATACCATATTTTCTCGAACTCCAGGGTGTGACTTTTATTTTCACTGTCAACAGACTCAATGATGAGTGCTTTTAAAGGTAGAAATTACTGCTCTAATAATCCAGTGCGCGTCTTCAAACTAGGAGTACAGCGAATCATATATTCTCTGGTCTTTAATCGCGATGTGACGTCAGATGACTGCTGTGTTAGGATGCTAACCACTGCACGTGTGACTCACCCGTCAGTCCAAGCTTGTCTGTTGCCTTCACAACGATTTCATAATAAGGCGCCACCTCTCTGTCTAGTGCAGTGGAGTTCAAGACTGTGATCATTCCTGCGCTATCAATAGCAAAGATTTCATTGTCGTCGTTCTGTGTAATGTTGTATTCTTTTATTGACACGTGGTCTAGTTCATTTGGATCGTCTAAGTCAGTAGCTGTCATGGTAGACACAATTGTATCTAAGGAAGTGACGTAATACATTCAATTACCAATGAGAACAGACTTTATTTACATAAAATTGTTTTTATTATATCCAACTAGCGAAGGCCATCGCACAGTGTAATCTTAGAAGAGCCCTCCTGTGACGAAATCCTTCTATGATGTAAATGGCTTCATGACCCAAGAAGAGTATTGTTTTTAGGAATTTCCTATACACAACCAAGCCGTTTTGTTGCTAGAGGGCGCTACTTATTGTTAAGAGTTTTTCAGGTTATGTCTGCCGCGATGAAAGTTGAAGAAGACTGCCCTCAAAAACGAAAACAAATACACGTTTGAACAGAAGTGCCGAATGCTAAATGGAAATCGCGCCCTCACATTTTTTCTCACTTACCTGTGGCGGCCATTTCTTCCACGGAGAATACATATGGTTTGTGCAGAAATTCAGGCGCCCGGTCATTTATGTCATACAGACCAATAATGACGTCAGCAGTAGTCGATTCCCCACGACCAGAGTTTTCTGTTGCCATGGCGACAATATGATAAACGGCGCGTTCGTCTCTATCAAGTGGTTTTATCAGTTCTATTTCACCGGTGCGTGGATTTATAGTAAAATAGTGTTCCTTGGTGTTTTGTAGACTGTACCAGATATCTTCACCAGTGGCTGAAATCTTAAAAAACAAAAAGCGTGCTTGTTATGTCAAGGTACACTGTCAAATCAAGTCAAATTGGCTCACATTTGCTTAAACGATGAAATGTAACGTGTCCCTCAGCTCTATTTGAATTCTCATATTTGGTCTTACCGTCTTTAGGGGAATACGACAAATAACACGCCATATAGTGGCAATTGGTAATCGTAGCGATCATCTTTCAACTATACAGGTATAATTAAATTCTCATTATCTAAAACATATGACTATATTGAATGAATACGGTAATTGTATAGTGTATTCATTGGTCCTAATCGGTATTACCTATTTTCAACATTTCTATTCTAAAATAAAAACTGTAACACGATAAAGACTTTCTATTTTCAACATTGTGAAAAATACAGTATTTTCACCAAGTAAATTCATATTTATTAAAGTTATTCCTACATGAGTTGTTAAACAACCTACATAATTTGTAATTTCATTCAGCTTTTTCAGTTATAATTCAAGACAAATAAAAGGAAATATGTAGAAAATATAGAAATAAATATAGAAAATTATTTGCTTTCCGTAATATTCTTGCGTAATCGGTAATATTATGAAAATTATTTATGGTGCATGGGGAATACATTTTTTGTGAATTATTCTTAATATATTTCTGAATTATCTTGTCAAAATCTTTTCTTTTCTCCTAAAAAACGAAATAATTTCACAATGTCGAAAACGGAAAGTCTTTATTTTACGTTTTCTTACCTGCAACACCTGTACCGGGGTTTCCGCGTCTTCTTCCCAGATGATAGTAGAGTACACCATCTCATCGAATACCGGTAATGCGCAAACGTGACCAATCACAGCCAGGGAGAGGAATAAAGTAATACCTGTCATCTTTGTGACACCAAGAGATGACGTCATATTCAGACAACCGTGTCTACCTGAATGGAATAATATACCGTTTACCATTGGTGTATTTCAAATGGTTGTACGTGAATGTGTTTTTCTAGTACCGAACTGAAGTTTCCGAGGTCCCCCGACGCCAGACAATGCCTGACGTCAGAGTTTATATTTGTAACTCAAATTTGTATTCGTCATGGAGTTCATTTTTATAACTTCTCAGATTTAAATGATACAAATGTCCTCTTAGCCGGTAGTCAGTTTGGTCTCCGAGGTTGGACGTTTCTAACATTTTCGCAATTCGTACAGTTGTGTCTACTGAACTCAACGGTTCAGTTCTTTCCAGTCGCCACTCGAAACATCTGTTTTGACTTGATAAACCCATACGTCAAAGAGAAATTTACATTTAATATTAATCTGTAAAGTCCCATTTACCCGATTTCCTTAAGATTCTTTCGTATAGTCATAGGTGTTAGTTATGAAACCATAGTGAAATAAACGCACAACATGCATTTTTCTAAAAGAAAAGTCAACAGCCAAAAGTCTCGATTTTCCATGTGCTAAATTTAACACTACCGATCAACGCCAGCACAGGTGAATATATGTCGTATTGCTAACGTATAAACGCAATTATATATTATGGCATGACAACTATTTTTGTTTGAGTTATTGATATGACGTATATTAGTATTATTACTCTACGACATGATATGTATCTCCGGCATCGCCCTGGTAAGTTATCGCAGACTCGGAGTTGAGGGCGCTTTAGAAAACAACAAGGTGACAAATGATACACGCCCCTAACATTCAGTCGATACGCATCGTTATTAATAGTGTTGATTTATTGTCATATAAATGCTGAATAACAGCAATAAATAATTTCGCCAACTTAAGTATGTAAGGGCTGTTGATAATTAAATGCACAGCAGTAAACGCCTTTCCCTAAATTGCGGACAAATGGAGCAAACATTAAAATAAACTCTGTGTGATTTCTTGCATAGTACTAGTATTTGAAATTACTCTCATCGCCCACCAATCCCTAAACGAAAAGATTACGTATGTGTGCATGTTTTAATTATCAACGGCCCCTAACATGAAATGGCACACTGTGTAGAGTTCAATTGTTAGTTCCTTGGGGTGAGTTAGTGTCACTGTAAAACTGAAATGTACATAGATACCATGGTATGTCGGTGTCTTAACAGTGCTTAAGTCTAGGACTCATGTCCGGGCTGTAATGGCGATAAATGTACATGATGCTAGCTTTGCTCGTACTAATTTTACAAATATTTTTTACTTTTATTTGCAAAAATAATACGCAGAGTGCCGTAATTTTATTTCGAGTATTTGTTTTTTCATTTGCATATGAATAACAACATGTGTATGATAAGATGGATCTGATGTCGATTTAAACAATTACACGGTGTGTTTTGACACTGGATTGCGGCTGCAACCTCAGATCATGTGTCTATTAATTTTATGCGAAATTTATAATATTAGATGTATGATCTTAACTTTTCATTTTTAACTTTTTTTCAGTGCCTTCAACTATGCTGTCTGTCGTGTTGACTTCCCCCATTTATATGTGTTCGGAATCTATGTAGCTAATCTGAGCGCTGTTGAATAAACTCACAAATATTCGCCTCTGTTCCGAATTACTGCATGTCGTAATCATAAGGTTTAAATGCTGCTATCCAGTAAAAAGCGAATATCAGTGGGATTAAAAATTGAAAATTTTGCTTTAATTTCGCTTTCCAGGCAATAACCGGATTCGAATATGCTACAAGATTGGAAACAACTTGAAGGGTGCGGTATGGGGAACGTCACCTCGTATGTATGCGACGGTGGGAGGTACTATACTAGTGGAACAGCAAGTAACAGCCACTCAAACGACAAAATGTCACACAAGTTGTGATATATGAAAGCTTGCATGACAAGCTGGAGTAATAAATCAATTCAACAATTCTCGGTGTTTTCTATCGTGAAAACAGTATTCCACGACACGCCACTATCACGTGATACGTTTTTTCATGTTACTAGTATGTTGGCGACTGGCTTCTATCGCCGTCCACTTTATCGGCGTAATTCACCCAAATCGTTCACGATTACTTTGCTCGAGTCCTGATGTAAAATGGGTGGAATGTGATGTATGTTTCTACGTCTGTGCGAATGTACACTGTAAGATATATTAATTGTCCCTGCAATTCGGCGAGTTATATTACCCGGGTTGAAATATTGCGCAAGACTTGTGCACTTCACCCAGTTCCAAAACTCGGAGACTGTTGAAGGTCTTTTCCCTCACGTGCTTCAAATAGAAAGTTAAAAATAAGCCTTTATTTTAAGTAAATCTTGCTCCGAATATCAAGTTCCGTTCGAATCAGTTCAAATGAAAGCTAAAAAAATGGCGGTAACTTACGCCATGATTTTCATATACTAGTATTTCACACACCAAGTGTTGCGTTGATGCACATGCCGTCCAATCAAACGTCTAGCTGTGTATCACGAATTGCGTGACGTGCATATCGCTATGCTGCTTAACATAGACGAACAATTTACAAAGTACAACTAATACTTATAAGTTTCCAATTTGCTGCATGTGTGAAAGTTCAGCAGTAAAACTGAAAACGTGATCAATGATCACTTCACAATAAACCAGTAACGACGATCTCATACGGATGCATTAAAATACTGCAATGCTTCCATGGTTACAAACATCACTTACCTGCCTAAAATAAGTCGTTTTTAGAAGAACTGGGACGAGCCGCTACTCCTGAAATCAAGTGAGCTCTGCGACTTGGAAGGACACTTATGAGTTCAACACAGTATATAGGTATGTTTATGAGTCTTGAGAGTTTAATAAGTAACATATTTTAATCGATTGTCTACATGGGAGTAATAAACATCAGGTTTAGTGCTACTTGACGAGATTTGACGTTTATTAGGGGCGCCCCCTATAGTTGACATGTACGCGTTCAAGTATTCGGTTTCAAGTTTCGCTGTGTTTTTTTATTTACGTAAAAAAAGACATTTTGGTGCAAACTATGTTATTGCCCGTAAATATTACGCGGATGTGCCGAATGATAATCTGAATCTTGTTAGTTAGATTCGAATTGCCGTTTTAACAGCATTTTCGTGGCAAATTATGGAAATCGCATTTTTTTAGTAGAGAAAATATTTTAGATTGCATGTCATATATCTACATAGTGTAATCATTTACACCGAGCATAAAACAGATTCAGCGTGATTCTTAGTGAATGCAAAGTGATATTTTCTGATAAATTCTGTGATACGAAAATGTACCAGTAAACACTCACAAATCCATGAGTAGATTATTAAGTATTTGGGCACACAAAATACCGTGTACAAGCGACGACATTGTCCCACTAATAAACACGTGAGTTTACCGAAGGTTTCCTTCGGTGAATAGCATCATGCGGTCTTGCGTGGCTCGTATCGGAAACCAAAACTAGGTCACAGAAGGAGGTAGTGTTGACATGGTTGCTGAGATACGTATAACGTTACATGATAATTGATCACGTGATTTAAACAATCAATGACGGACAGGCAGATTTAGACAAATCCTCCTCCTTGAAAAAAGCTCAAGGCGACCCAGAGAACGGAGACGGATGTTATTGAGTGTATAACGTCACAACAATCACGGGTAAGTATAGTATATCATATTGTAATTTGTTGTAACTAAAATCTTGTTTCGTAAAATTTACTTCCGGGTTTCCTAGAGCAGTTGTCTCGACACTGAGTAAATGTGCTTGTCGGTTGTTACACTATAGATATGATTTGCTTAAGGTAGTTTGAAGCATGTGTGTTTATGTGTGACAATGTGAAATAAACAAACGTCGGTACTGTAATGGTGCAACGGGCTCAAAGTACACGAGATGATTGTTGCTGTAACAAGCCGTCCCTATATCCGGGTCGCGCATACATAAGCATCCGGGTAATCTCAGTATAAACTAAACATGAATTGGTGATTCGAACATAGCCCAAGTATAAATAACGAATCGCCTCTGGTGTTTGAATGCTCATTCTACCTTAACTATATCTCCATAATTAGGGATTGGCCAATGTAGTGTTAGGCCGGTTGTGAGGGGGAAGTAATGCCTTGGGCAAATTCACAATTTGTTTCTTCTGAAGAAATTCTAAGCCGCATTAAACACATTGTTAAACCCCTTGGTACGAGGTAGGGCTTTTACAATATCTACTGTCAAATATTTAAAAAACAAATACTGCTCTTACTTTTTTTGTTTTTGTACTTTCATCGACAGAGGGCAGTATAACAGTCCACTTAAGAATACATGGATAATGGGATCCAATCCAAGTACAAGTAAAAAACTAGAAGACACGACGTCTCAGGAGTCAAGTCAGCCTAAGCCACGTGACGATGAAAATGACGTAAGGAATGATACTATTTATAAATTCTTTCTGTTATATTATAACAATACTTTCGAAAAACTTGATTATGACAATTTCAATCCTGCAATGGTTCACAATTAAGGTCGTTATGCAAAATCTAACAATCGCAGCGATGTATTGTGTCCGACACGTGTGACCCATGTGCGTGTACATTGTTTTTTTGTGTGCATATAGATATAGATATAGCATATAGATATGGATTTTTCGAATGACTTGTATTGATGGAAGGTACTAGTAGTCTCAAATATTGGACTACAATTAGTAGCAATTTTTGGAAAGGTACTCTAGTTTGTTAAGGCTTCGCAAAAAAATGTTCTGGTCAAATTTCTTTTCAAAAATGGAAGCGACACATTTTGCAAGTCTAATTAATTCTTCAACGGAGGGCGCTTTACAGTGGCAGAATAAGTGAAAGAAAAGACCGGCTCGCCCTTTGTTTGGTGGTGCGCACGCCGAATAGAAATATTCATTTTTAATCACGCCTAATTAATAATTTCCCTGTAAACACGTCCATCCGAGCCTCTCTGCAATATTGCTCTTGTAATTGTTTCATCACACTTATCTTGCGGTTTGCTTTGTATTTTTTCATTCTACTCCTTCCAAAATTGTCTTTGATTTTGGTGAAACCATGCGACCGTTCGACAACAATAAGGGCCATTCAAATGATGGAGCAAAATAAATAACCACAAAGACATTTTAATATTTTTCAAGTTTCATCATAAAATGTTTCAAATACAGCAAAACATCCAGGGCTAATAGTTCAGACAACAATCGATACGATGGAACGTTGTTGTATGTACATTTTCATCTAATACGTACTAGTATAAGGCAGATATTTTAATTTTTAGATGAACTTCGCGCGCTACTATACTTGGCATCTCCAACGAGAAGAATGTGAGCAGGTAAGTAAATCAATAAAACACTCGAATCTGTGTACTACTCCTGTAAACACGGCTTATGGGCGAAGCGTCAACTTTGTTTGTTTAGGTGTGTTTTTTTCGTAGCAAATCTCCTAAAACATTATTGGTTATAGACGGAAAAAAGTCCGTAGAACAAAATATTTGGGCTCAATGAGCGGCTAATAATGAATTGTTACCGAGACGATTCATCGATGTTTCTATTTTAGGAAGGGCGTATTGAAGACCACCAAGATACCTTTGGGATGAATGGAAAGGTAAACCACTCCCACCTAAATCAGATTAGAATATTACGCTCGTTTGGGCTTCATTTTTTTCTCAAATATATACTGTTTTTTTATGTTTTTATTATTTAAAATTATTTTGAATTTGCTGGTAGTTTTGGTAATCGCGAATGTATGTGGCGTAAGACAAAATACTACAAAATAAGTTGTACATAATAAAACACAATTACAAAACTATTTAAAAAACATAGTACATTTAAAATAAAATATACGGCAGATTTTTATCAGATTGCCCCCACTTCTGCTTTATTAATGATAATGTTAATTTCAACAAATCTGACTTTGTATGCAAAAAAAGTGTACAATTGTGATCTTTGGAAATAGGCGCAATTTGTACATATTACGTCAAAATATAATCCACTTAATTAAAGTAGCATTAAGAGAGCATTCCTAAAATTGCATTTCGGGTCTTGGGGCTATTATTTGATGAAATGAATTTGCGTGAATTGTGGGAAGTACATAATAACACATAATAACGATTTCAACGCCTTTCTGTGAGTTCAAACTCGAGCTAGTCGGTGGTTGTTTCGGCTTCCCATTAGAGTGTGTGTTTGAAATTCCTTAACTACATTTTGAATAGTGTTCCAACGTGTTTAGATTTACATAGCAGATAATATTTCATGGATTCCTTATTTTATTTTACTATTTCAACAGTTCATAGATTCTAATATGGATTCGCTTCTGTTCCGAATTACTGGCGAATCCCAAAATTTAACTTTAGACTATCCAATATCTCACATAATCAGACCCATATCTCTAAGTTCTATGTATGCTCTCAGATTGCAACTTTTTCATAACTAAAAGTTCTATACATACTGTAAAACATGTTGAAGCGGCATATTATTTTAGCGAATTGTGGTAAAACGACGTAATAGGGAAATATTGATTTATAGAATCTCTCTTGTCTTTGTTGATTTCCTGTTTTCGCAATACTTGTCTGTCGCCAGCCAAAACAAATGCACAGTTATCACCTACATAGAAACAAAGAAAAACTGTCAAGTGTAATAAGGAAGCCCTCCAGATTATTAGGTTTTCTGTGTTGTTTACAAAGTGTATGTGTGGAGAAAAGACGTTGTTTGGACGCCATTTTGAATTTTTAATGAAGTCATTAGCGACATCTTCAATTAGCGAATTAGCTCTCTCGCTAAATTCGCTAAAATACATGTCCGCGAAAAAGACATGTTTTGCAGTAGTATTTGGCCCGGGATTCAACCATAAAATACAATGGGGTATTACCAAAGTGCCATATTCCAAATTTAGTGCCTATTTGTTATACTATTTTTGCATTTACACGACTTACATATCTCATCATTCTTTGCAGTCAGACGTCGAGCAGAGCACATTTCACCACGAGGACGGAACTATTTATAACTGTATAATTGACGACGGACAGCGTTACTATTTCGACTCGAAAGACGAGCAGGTAAATTTTATTTGATTTGCTGTCCGGAGATTCATAACAAGTATTCAAATTATCAACGCTGGAAACCTTATATTAGAATGTTAAAGGGACTGTTCTAGGGTGTTGTAGTATATCATGAAAACGTTCGCTGTCGGTACAGCAAATGAGATTACAATCGGCAAAATTATTGCTGAAAGGGAGGTCACATAAGACACGTGGTTGCAAAATTGTAAGTGGTCACTATAGGCAGGTGGTCTTTATATAGAGATGGTCACTAATCCAGTTTTCACTGTATGACAACACTCTCCAAGAATTGTTTCAAGTTGTGTGTGCTTCGAATTCTCTGTTAGATCTAAGCAGACTTTGAAAACGACGGTGTGAACTAATTCTACGCCACTGGAAGACGCGACGTTATGGCTTTGCCATTTATTTTGTATTTTATGTTTCGAATGTTAAATTGTTTCCCAATTAAGACATACAGTATAACAGGAGAAATACCATGTCGAATATAAGAATACAGCACTCAGAATAAGACGATGACAGAGGATCGCTTCGATTGTGATATTGCCATTGAGTAGTGCAATAATATATTGACTGCTTACAGGTTTGGAAGCCGTTTCCCTCGACGTGGCTGTCGCGAGGAACTCTGGTAGAAGGGACTCACTACGATGGAGATGACATGGTTAGCGACCCTGGTGAAGGAATCAAGACTCGGATGCAATCTCCTTCACCTAAACTAGAGGCCAATGAATCATCTCAGGCGGTAAGATAGGTTTTAACTGAAATTGGTTTACCATCATCAAACTGGAGACAAGCTAATCTCTCACAAACACTAGTTTACATTGATGCACTATAATAGATTCAAATAGTAACCCGTAGTGACGTCGCAGAAGCAGTTAGACGTTAAAAGCTAGAAATGTGTGTTGTACACGATTCACGATGATTAGGGTTCTTGTTAATCATTAAAAACATTAAACAAGATATAACCTCATTCAATAATGTTGTAATAAGCTAATACATTGCACTTCTCTCCTCTCCACCGCAGATGGCGATGTTGCTTGCCCCGGGAATGAAGACATTGCGACAGACAACTAAATCTCTGAGGATAGCAACCCAGCAGTTAAAATACACTTGTCAACAACATTTCACAGGTACGGTAGTGGTATTAATATAAGCATAGAACTCCTGATATGAATTAATATCCTGGATACCGTTTCGCTTGCTACGCTATCTAAATTTCGCGGTGATCGAGGCCGATGGTTTGCTAAAAATCATGTGATTCGATCGATCGTTTCCGCATACTTGCTTAATCTCGGGGCGGTCATCCTGTAATTTTCACAGCTGGAAATAGTCACGGCGCAAACGACGGCCGAAATTATCAGAAAACTGTACTTTGAGATAGTTGTTGGGACACTCCTGGACAATGTGACTATATCTCCCTTACATGTGCAACTTATATAAATTTGGTTCTTTCGAACATGGAGGTCTTTTTTTATCTACATGCTCCGGATTTATTCCAAATTGAGTTTGTGCTGTTTCCTTGAATTTTCACCGGCTTTGCTAGCCGCGTTCTACACTAGAGTTCATAGAAATACATGGTACAGTGGTGCGCGTCTTAGCAACGTATAATATTATGGGGCGTAGCTCCGCCCGACAATTTTAGTGTGATTACCAGTCGCTAATTTTGTGGTCAACGGTGATACATTTTGCCGATATGCAATAGGAACCATTAGTTGTCACGTGATAGAGGTACGACCCGACGATGAATAAATTTACATGGTTAATGTCGCTAACAGATAGCGGAAGATTTCTGACTGTGATACGTGCCGTTGATTTATTCCTTGAAGTTGTGTATGCATTTTCGTCGAAGAGACTGACGACTTTCCTTTCCCCTATACTTGAGCGGCGCCCTGCGATCGGAACAAATCCAACATCGACAGAGGGCGCAACTCAAACAACTACTCGTATATCCGGCCAGTTAGTATTTAGTGTTGTGATTGTTGTCTTTTTATCAGAAATTAACAACTTAATACAGGACGCTGCCTTGAATTTGCCATCACTGAACTCACCAATGACGTCACCTAGAATCACCAATGACACATCAGAGACAGAATTGTTGCGTTCGGCATACAGATTAGAGTGTCTGCAGAGAAAGAGTTATTACAATAAGGTAATTACAGTCATATTAAATCGACATGCTCACATCAATAATATCAGTTCGAATCTAACAAAACCATATGTAATATCAGCGTGGCATACCATGTATTAAACAGTGTATATTGTGTACACAGTCGAGTATTATAGTAACTTTACTTGCAAAGACGTCACCTTCATTATGCCGTAAAGTAATATATGATGGGTATCACGTGGGATAAAAGATGCGTTCACTTGGTGACACTTTCTGTATGTATATCATGTTGTCCATGCATCATTGTTAATCTTGAGTCTGTTGAAATGAGCTTGGGTCACTAAAATAACACCGTATACGGTTACGCCAAGTAACTGTGCACCATACAGAGTCATTTTTGTTTAGCAATATATTTAGCATTACTTTTCTTGAGAAAAATTTGCTTCGCAGAGGAAGAGATTCTGATGCTAATCAAGGCTCATCGTAATCCTGGCCTAGCAAGTATCTACACGCAAATGATTTTAGCGTTCTAATCGTTGTAAAATGTTCTCTTATTCGCGCATGCTTTATTCAACCAGCTTCAGGAGACAAAGGGGAACATCCGGGTATTCTGTCGTTGTCGCCAACTTGAAGGAGACAAATCCAACAAATCATTTGAGTTGTTGACAGACCAAGAGGTGATATGCAATGACGGACGGACTTTTAAATTTGATAAGGTGTTTCCACCGTTTGCAACTCAACAAGAGGTAGGCAGCTTAGTTGAATTATTATTAGAATGGTGTAATTTTATAATGACTTATAATCAACTTCAAGTGAGATTAAACTCAAAATATTGGTGATAGATGTAGCGCGATTACACAATTACTTATTCTAGGTGGCGCTTTCATTTAATATTGAAGGCGGACAATAACAATTTCTTTTATATGTCCCCCGTAGTAGGCGGGCAATAACAGTTCAGTTTATACGCCAGCCAATAAACTTTTACTGACGTCGGATGTTTCGTTCCATTTACGGCGAGTTAAATTCCGACAGTATATAGAGGACGGGAAGGGGTTAGATCAAGGAACAGTTTTATATCATTGACAATATTTACTCATATATGCTGTTTTGGTGTAAAAATTAATATTACGATAATAATCTACACAATGTTTACTTGCTATGAATTGGTTTTTAGTGCATTGTAATTTCACTGTAATCGTAACATTCTGTGAACCAACTAATGCAATCAAATTCAAAACTGAAAAAAACCTCTGTACGTTGTACTCTTATAGAAACAACTTAAAATGTCATCAATAACATCAACAATTTTTGAAGTAATAAACGAACATATAATTATATTAATTATTGTATTTCATTATTGCATTTTATATCAAAAAAATACTTCACTGACGTTAAGTATGATTGGGGATATGAACTAAATGACTAAATTCAAAGTACAATCAATCTACTTGTCCACAGGTATTTGATGAGGTTATGCCGCTCACCTTGTCGTGTATAGATGGATACAGTCTGTGCGTGGTAGGGTACGGACAATCAGATTCAGGTACAACATACACTCTACTGGGTACGCAGCACGAAGCAGGAATTGGTATCAGAGCGATTGGAGATATTTTCAAGAAATGCTCACAGAAACATCTGGTGGATTTTGCATTCAAGGTAATTGTAAGATATTCATTGACGTCATGTCCTGGTCACGATGAAATCAATGAAATATGTGTTTCGAGTTTAATAATTATTATTTGATCACATTTGACCACTTGATTTATGGTTAATTGACATTATTAAAACACGATTCCGATTTATTCTAGCTCTACCCTGGTTATACTTGTGATGCGATGTGACGTTGATGTGTTATCACGTAGTTTGATCACTTGTAATGAAACATAATTTAAATAGAATTCTTAACTCCTCTATCTTCGTTATTTGTACCGGGGGTGGATATATTGCGACATATATTTAAACGGGCACTTCCAGTTAAGCCTAATCTCACAACAAATTTACTTTTTGGATTAAAATGACAATGGATAACAAAAGATAGATTAACTTTGTAAACAACATAAACAATAGTGTCCCATGATTCTTTGGTGCAATCCCTGGGATTGGAAGCTTCCCCTTTAAGGTATTGAGTTGGTTTTGCCAGGTAATTCAGATTTGATTATTTGTCCCCATGATGATTGCATTTGCCTACCACCCCCAACGATTTATGTGTCAAACTTGTTCCACATTTTAGCCGATCGGAGAGTCATGTTGGTGTGTGTGGGATATAGCATTAAATTTACACAAATTTATTTACACTTCTGGTAGGTACTAAAGCATCATACCACAAATCGCCCACAAACATTGTCACTGTAGATACGATCTTAATCGCATTTAATCCGTTTGTCATTTATTTGTTCAATATGCCTAACCCTATTAGATAATATAATAATGAATATAGTTAGTATTCCCTGACGCATTTGAACAATTCAGTTATTTAGTGATTTTGGTGTGCATACAATTCCGCACATATGTATACGTAATTGGTTTTTTTGAATGCATGGATTCAAACAATTAACATCAACTTGTGAAATACTAAAGCCTTTCGTCAGTCTGTAACAAATACATCACTTGCCAGAATACAATTATGCGAAATCACACTTCTCTGATTTGCTGTAAGATGTATTAATACTAATGGGCTTGTTCTGTATTCGCCCAGATAAGACAAGATAATAGCTCACTAAATTGACCGCATAATCGGTTCTAAGCGTTTGAGTCGCGGAGCGTGAAGTACCTCTAGTGGGGGCGCATTTTGACAAGATGGATGCGACACGGTCATATCACCTATGCCCGGTTACCTATTCTATTGTCGATTATTATTGTTTGTTAATATGCACGGTTCAAAATAATTTAATGTATTGTTGACAGTTTTCAATGGTCGAAATATACAATGACTGTGTGTACGATCTTTTGGGAATGGATGCACGCTCGAATTTAACATTACTGGATGACCCCAAATCAAGCAACGAGTTCATTGCAGATGGTGTAACTAAGGTAATCGTCAAAGATGATACGGATGTAATGAAAAACTTAATACGAGGAATCCATGCCCGAATTAGCGGAATCACATCGACACATTCTTCAAGGTATGCTGTAGTGTAAATTGTCAAATCGCGTTACGAAACGATTTGTTTAGTATGATAGTGAAAGTAGTGATGTAAGCCGACTATGTCTATGGAACGTTTCAATAACCCACGGTAATATGTAGAGTCCATGGAAACAATGGATACTAAATATATCCATGACTTTCAATTTAACGCGTGGGTTAGGAATATGTTATACAAGTACCTTGAATAAAATTTCAATATAACTGGCTGCTCTCGAAACAACGAGTTCGTGTAAAAGTGAACTAACCAAAGGGCGGCTGATTAGGTTCGATGAATTTAACGTAGATGCATTCGTGGTATATGGCACCCACCCCTCCCGCGCGACCAAATGTTCTTAAATATAAGAACAAACTTTCTCGCACTCGGCTATTATTTTTCACGACATGCGAAGCAGTATCGTGGACTCTCAAAATAGCGTCCCAGACTGATAATGTCATAAACCCTTGGATGGGATCTGCCATAGGTGACCGTTTTTTTTTTTTTAATTTCAGGAACGTGTTTAGATGAATTGTCATTACAATAGCGTAGTTTTGTAATGACTTATAATCAACTTCAAGTGCGATTAAACTCTGAACTAAATATTGATGATAAATGTACGCGCCGTCATACAAGTACTTACTCTAGGTGGCGCTGTATATAAAATACACATGCTTTCCAACTAGTATATCATAATGATATGACCTTAGAAAAATACAAAACGCGTAACTGTTCGTTTGAAACTTGCATTGAATTGTAAATCTACTAGATTGTCCGTAATTTATATACGGAGAGGATATCTCATGGGACACCTGACAATATCAGATTAATTAACCAATTATACTGAATTTAATGTAGGCTGAAATTACTGCGCGAGTTTAATTGTAGGGTAACGATTTTGATATCTTGATCATCCCAGACATCGTTTTGAAACGCTAGAATACAAAACTCGTAATTCATTAACGCGTATTCAAGAAAAATAACGCAAAATCGCCGACATTTGGCATATTTGAGACATCAGCCATGATATCAACAGTTCCATGTGCTTGTATAGACCATTCAGATTACCGGAATGCACATGATATGGACATACTGAAAACAAATAACGATCAAACAGTGATGAAAAGGAACGAACGTGGTAATAAATCGTGATATGATTCTGGGAATTTGTCGGCAATGCGAAATATCTAACTTTTAGAAAACAGAATTTATGAGCGCACTATGTTTCTTATTAGTTTGTTTCAAAAACGAATGACGATTCAGAAACGTGATACAGAATCATTTCAATAACTTTCATTTGTAACATATTATGTTTTACACGTGTTTTGCTGTCCATAGTTGTAGATCCCATTTGCTGATAGCTCTACAGATAGGAGGTGTTAATAGAATATCCGGGGTTACAAGTAATGGCTCCATTGCCATTGTCGATTTAGCGTGCACGGAAACCATCCATATAGGCAAAGGTGATAATTCTGGACAGAGCATGGTTGAGTCTACCACAGTGCACAAATCATTCATGTCGTTGCAATTGGTAAGTACGAAAGATCCCTCTAAAGTCTAGAAAATGTTTTGCCGAAACCACACCAACAATTTCTATAAAATTGAAACACACATTATAAAAATGTGTCAGTCTTTGCAGATCTCTGCCTTGGTCTGAAATTATCCAACTGATAATTGCTTTTAATGAGATGTTGTTTGTTTTGTTTTGTCTTTGCGCTCATTGCGCAGCGCAAGGTAAAGTTAGTGTCCACCCTCGTCAATGAAAGGAATGCGATGCTCATTAAAAACTTATACCTGTTGAAACTCTTGAAGTACCTCAATTTTGATACTAACAATTCTCCAAGCAAGTCCAATTCACATGAGACTTTCATTGTGACTAAGACAACCATAAAGCGAAATTATTTCTTATTTCTAGAAGGTAGCATTTTAGGCCAAAGATATACACGGACGCGGTAACCAGTAAGCCTCAGTCACATTAAGACTTTGGTCATAGTAATCTGTCGATATTTTCTGTCTCCAGGTGTTGAAAGCTCTTCGAACAAAGACAGGCACTGTGCCCTTTAATAATTCCGTCCTGACCCAGACATTACGACCATTTTTTGGACCGGACGCTAAGGTAATGTATATTTAGTTAATCTAGTATCAAGTTAACGTGAGCATGCGTAGGCACGAGAGTGTACAAACGAGTAGATGTGTTGGCAGAACTAATCATATATTAATTAAAGGTATTACAAATTCTAGATCACCACATGCCGTCAAATTACGTAACTATTTTGCATTAGATATTTTCAAACTTATACTGTAACATGTTTTTCACCCAGGTATGCTTCTTTGCTACTGTCAACCCGGAACAAGATCACGTGAGTGAAACGTTGAACACGCTAGAATACGCGTCTACAATTATAACGCAATCAACACCAGGAAGCGAGAAATGGGACCAACAACGATGACGTAATGGCCCGTAATGGTTTATCGTTGCTGTCAGGCTCCATTCCTTTCCTACAGCTGAAATAACAGAAATGAACATCCGTCTGTTATCCCTAGAAGGGTCACAAGCCACGTTTCAAAAAAACCATGTGACACCTAACACATAGAGTTATGTCATGGACTATATTTATGATAATTGCATTTAAACATCTGGAAATGAATATCAAACTGCAAATTGTGAAAAGTGAAAAGTTGAAGACTTTTTGGCATACTATTATACATGTATTATACTTGGTAATGGAAACTTCTGCCAGGTGAATATCAGTTACTGAACACATTGATTGCAGCATTAATATTATTTTAATAACATATTAGAAATACAGATATATATTATGAGTATTATTATCAAAATGTTTTTTGAGAGCGAGAGCCAGAGGGATTTATTTTGCTTTTCAAACAGTCTTTTATTCTCTCTCATCATCGCATCGCTGTCCATGATAATTGGAACGATGGATGAAATGACGGTAAAAATGGAACACCGTTTAAAGGGCAAAACATGTTTCATTTCTCTCTCGCAATAAACGATATCTCGGCGTTCATTTGCTTCGAATGTCCATTTCCTTCTACTTATAAGAATCAATAACTAAAGAACATAGAGGAAACACTTGTCACAATTTGATCGTAAAAAAGAGAAAAAAATGAGTTGTCCCACTATCAAATATGGGAACATTTTAGATGTCATTGTATTATATTTTTAGCTACACAAGCAATATCTTTATTATTATCTCGTTGTTATTTGTGGGTTATTATTTTATATTCTGTATTGAGTTATATTTTTGATTAAAATATGACATGTTGCAGGGAAGACCCGACGAGTAGGCTAAATCGAGTATTTTATTGATTTACTAAAAATATACGTAACTGTATAACGTCGAAGTGCTTGAAATGCGGCCCTCGAGTTAATCTATCAAGCGTGATTCGAGCGGGATTCAAGATGGCGCCAGTCACGACTCGCTGCTCACCGGTTCGAAGCACCATTCAACGTTAAACTATTTTCAGCTCGCTGTTAGAAAACAATTGTCATATAATTAAACAACATTACTGAATTACTGAATGAGCTACCTGGCTTCGCATAACTTGTAAAACACACAAAATGGCGCCGCCAATAATTTGACGTGGCCGTGTACCATATTCTAAAGCTTAGGCTGTATAGATTTCTCCAATACTCCTTCTTAAACAGAGTATATGGCTGTATTATGTATCTGAGTTCCAAACAGGACATTGACCCCGTTGTACACGAGTTTGTTTTCGTATCCCTCTGTGTATGTGTCTATGACAGAAATCGCCGTTAATTATTCAATGTTTTCATACAGTATCCGTTATTTTGATATTTATATCATCACAACATTTCGGTTGGATGCATAATATACTTTAAATGTGATTCTGTAATGGGATCCTAGCAAAGTCTTATCAGTTCTAGGCATGTTTATTTTCTTCCTATCAGTTCTATGTTATCATATTTTATTATCTGTTTACCAGGAAGTTAACTCCAGGGGATGATACGCACAATGCTGCTGGTACGGAAGCCGGTGATACGTGTCCTGGCTTTTCTTATTAGTATTTGTAAAGAGTCAGTGGTCTGTTGATATACACAGCCGGTCGCGTGGATTCCTTTGCTTGCTTTCCCATCATAAACACCTCGGAAAAGATGAAAACGAATATGTTGACCTTGTGTTTCTGTCTTGCGTGTATGATGTTTACCATCGCGTACGGACAGAGCTTCATCGATGGGCCTGTTGATGTCGAACTAGTTGAACATAACACGGCTATATTGAAATGTAAAATTGGACCGGATCTAAACTTCGCCGAAGACGCTATGGGTGTTCTGTGGTACCACGGCGGCAAGCGAATTTATGATGAGGAATCTGCTAAGTACAAACGTATAACAGATGATCGTGGCCAACACGACCTCTTGATCTATAATATCACGGAGGAAGATACTGGATACTACACATGCTTGGTGTATGATGTTCAACCACAAAAAGCCGGTAAGCTGACAGTCATTCCGTACCCTGTATTGACGGAAGAGCCAATCAACAAAACAGTTATCGTGGGCGATACCGCTATTCTGAGCTGCGTGTTTGACACGTTTAGCGAAAACCATTTTGACGTGTTCTGGCTGAAAGACAAAACTGTCATAACAGTTAACGAGACAATCAAGACCGACGCATTCCCCGACTCAAGCTGGAATAGATATTTCGTAACACGCAAGGACGATGGAGTTTATTTGACTATAACTGACGTGACTCTCCAAGATATGGCAGATTACTCATGTGGTGTCGCTAATAAGTTAGAGGAGGATTTTTTCTTGTTGTCAAGGGCGACCGGGATAAAAGTTCTAATTCCTTCGCTGGAACTTCACCCTATATGTTTTCTTCATCAGAACTCTCGTCACTATAACGAAGACGATGAAGTAACAGCTAATTGTGTGTTATCTGGCAATACAGCCGGCGTTAGTTTATCTTTTCTTAAAAATGGTGAAACTATGACCGATTATAAAACACAGGGTAATGCAACATATATACGGCAAAGCGAGACATGGGCATTGTCGCCAAAAGACGACGGCTGCACCTTGACCTGTGTCGTTAAAACATCCACCGGCACGGATAATAGAATATGCGCGATAGGTCCCATCGATGTCAGATTCTCCCCTATTGTCGAAGTTATGATACTTCACGGAGACCCACTGCCAGGTCAAAACATCGACATATCGTGTGTTGTAAGCGCCAACCCTGAAGTATTCGAATACAATTGGCTGATCAATGAACAACACATTTCTACTATCAATGACACACGGTTTGCACTGCGGGAAAATGGTCGATTGTTAACGATAATAGACCCATCGACAAAATACAACGGATCAATCGTGACATGCCAGACGCACAACGCCATTAACGCAAGCACCGCAACATCGACCATCATGATGAAACCATGGCCAACTTACGTGACTGCTGAACAATCAACTGTTGGCGTACTGTCCGTCACGCCGGGTTTGGACATAGCATTACACACGTGCCCCAGCGAGACACTGTACATACGCATCTACATGCTAGCCAGTTTGCTGATTGTGTTCGTGGCGGTTACATGTTTTCTCTCTTACCTATCGTGTCGGCGCTACTACCGTGAAAAGGAGTTAAACAGAACTGAGGTGACGCCCTCTATCGGGGTGCGTTACCATAAATGCGCGGAGCCTATCGTACGTGGACAGCGCGAGGGAAGAGACAACCCCACTATGTACGCATGCGACGAGATGGTATATTGTGCTTAATTCAGCCCCACCAGTGATCCACAGACTATGCATGAACTAGAATTGCAGACGGTATCTTATGGTCTCAATTGGGCACTCTTCAGCTTTAGTGAGTGTGGGTACGCCACCAAAACAAACCATGCATCAAATATGAACCTGATTAGGGACTGAAACAAATGTAGATTTCAATCGAACGTGGTTAGATTTCCGTTCCGTTTCCACATGACCTTATTGTGATTTCACATCACGGTGATTCAAGGCGATTGCATTCAGATTTACTAGTTATTACTTTGAGACGCCTGCCATCAATTTATTGATATCCCTCGCCTTCTGAATAAATAATAATCATTGAAGTTTTAGCACCAAATTATCTAATAATACATACATACAAAAAACGATATAAAGAAGTGATAAATATTCTTTTAAAAAAATAGCATTTAATGTCAGAAAGGCAATCCTTATACATTTACCAATAAATACATTACGTCTATATCTCTATGTATTACGTTTTCTATTGTGTTTTATGCATAGTTCATGCACGCTACAAATGAACGTATGCAATCATACTGGTTGTATATTTGTTACTTTCGAACGCATTGTCAGGGAAGTATCAACATGTAATACAGAGACTATGTCTTCATTATCACGAAGTAAGCGTCCTCATTATAATTAATGGTGTTCATTATATTATGCGGTCGTATATTATAGATTGAAATTTGTTATAATTGCTTGATAGTCCCGGTCATCCTGTCAATTACAAAAATACAAAATTATGTAATTTCTCCATAATGTTAACACTTTAATCGAACAATTAATTTATGTACATTCAGCCAAACTTTCAGAACGAACACGTGTTTTACGGGTCGAATTGGACGGGTATAATTTTAGTATTCGAGAATATTGAAGATCAAATGTCACATCACACGTCATTCAACACAGCCGAACATTTTTCAGTACAGCATGTATCGATACGCGCCGTTCATCCCTTCAACTTCAGTACATCGTGAATCAATACGCGCCGTCCACCCCTTCAACTTTAGTACAGCATGTATTAATACGCGCCGTCCATCCCTTCACGGCCATGTATAGATTTTCGAAATAATCAATATTCCAAATCACGGAATACATCGTGGAGTCTGTTGGTTATTTATATGTATTAATGTAACTGACTTTATCAGCCTGAGTTATTACACCCTCACCGATAAACTCAGACACAACTCCACGCTATTAACTTGCTAGTCAGATTTAGACTAGTCTTACAAATACATTTCTTTATTGTAATAATCTGTATTGAATTTACATACTGTAGGTTTCCCCTTTTTCTTCCCTCCCCGTTAAACATTACTTTTAAGAAATTACTCTCTTGGAAGTACAATTTACTGGAAAATAAACTGGTAAGTTTTGATGTCGAGTTGACTTTATTTAATTTACCTTCCTTTTTTACACCAGACATGCCATCTCATCGCATTTGTTAGCGAGTATTTCAAAAACACGGCAAAATATTGCAGAAGTCGGTAAAGAAATAAAATAAGGGGTCTTCATATCGAATGTCGGAAGTGAGAACCTAGTCTCGTCACAAACACCCGGAATCGCGCTGTAATCGGCCCACTGCAGTAAAATACGTATATCTGCACATATCATTTTGTCTAACAATATACTCAAGCATGTAAATATTAAAGGAAATTTATTGTACGCGCTAATAATTGTATTTAATGG